TCACCATATATCATTTAGGTAGGCTTCACTATGCCTCTTAACTTTGTTTAATCTTTGGTGCACCTTAATAGCTGACATGTCCCTGCTTGGATCATATTCCACAGCTTACACCCTTCCATTAAGCCTTTCCTTATGCAAATACCTCTCCCTTCTGGTTTCTCTATCAAGCCTACCCCTGCTAACACAAATTAACATAATATTCCCCCACCCATTTTCTCTACACTTATCAGAAGTTGCCACTTGCCTAAAAGTTATTCATATTCATGAAACTTTCAACTACCCTGGAGTAATGCTAAATCAACCATTAACTCATGCTTATTCATTATACTGATTCTACACAATGAAAACAAACAACCATTAAAGCATGAATATTTATTACGCTGATGCACTATACAGTGAGTGTAACGCATTATAAGGTCCACTCTATGACACTATGTGTCATTAAAGGCTCAAGACGCAGTTAAGTGGACAGAGTCCCTACTTTTGGTCATGCTTGGTCTTCGTACCATCAATAATAAATACTTCGGTTGCTCGCAAGCGCAGCTTGTGTATGGTGGTTCGTTAGGTTTACCCGGAGAGTTTGTTTCACCTTCCCCACTTTCGGGTGAGTTGAATCCAGTCGACTATGCTGACAGAGTTAAGCAAATTTTCCAGCACATTTTATGTACTTCTACAAAGGTTCACCAACGGCCCTCGCATTATAAGGTCCACTCTGTGACACGCGAAATCATGTTTACAGTGCCTGAAGTATAAGGTGCATCGAAATTCTATAACCCCTTTAGGTACAATCAGTTCTCCGGACGTTAGGTTTGACCATGTCCATATCGATCTCGTTGGACCTCTTCCCTTCTGAGGGATTTACATACCCTCTAACATGCATCGATCGTTTCACCAGATGGCCGGAAGTGGTTCCCGTCGCCAATGTTACAGCCGAGACGGTGGCTAAAGCTTTTGTTGCCACATGGGTTTCACGGTTTGGTGTTCCTTCGACACTTACTATCGATCGAGGTAGGCAGTTCTTTAAATAAATAAATAAAGCGAATCTGCTTTATTTATTTCTTTGGTTGGTTTGTTAGGAACTACGTACGCACCACTGCTTATCATCCCATAGCAAATGGATTAGTGGAGCGGTTCCACCGTCATTTGAAGGTGTCATTAAATGCTCAAGACGCAGTTAAGAGTCCCTACTTTTGGTCATGCTTGGTCTTCGTACCATCAATAATAAATACTTAGGTTGCTTGCAAGCGCAGCTGTGTATGGTGGTTCGTTAGGATTACCAGGAGAGTTTGTTTCACCTCCCCCACTTTCGGGTGAGTTGAATCCAGTCGACTATGTTGACAGAGTTAAGCAAATTTTCCAGCACGTTTCATGTACTCCTACAAGGGTTCACCAACGGCCCTCGCAGTTGCATAAGGATTTGTGTTCCTGCTCCCATGTTTTCGTCCGTGTTGACCAGGTCCATACGCCGCTGCAGCTCCCTTATCGTGGTCCATTTCCAGTTTTGAAGCGCGGCGACAAGCATTTCGTTTTGGATTTCAATGGCCGTCGGGACCGTCAGTATCGATCGTCTTAAAGTAGCCTATTTAGATACAGACTTCGAGACGAGTACACCCCAACGGCCTGCTAAATTAGCGGATTTTTTACTTGAGTAATCCATTTCTCGCTTCTTGAGTTTTCATTTTGTATTTGGCTTTATAGTTAATAGTTTTTCTTGTTCTTTGTTCTTAGTTCGATCGGTTTTTGTTTTCACCGATCTAGCGGGGAGCTCCTGTAGGGGCTCATAAAGTCTGCGCAGAGGCTCTCTTCTCACTCACACCGTCAACTAGCACAGACATGAAACCTAGATTATGGAAAACATAATGTTGATGACGTCTTGGCAGTCATTCCTAAAGGGAAAACCATG